TTCATCACGAAAATGGACACTCCCTCATATGAATCCTCTATTATCTTTGATTACTTTTCGCCTTATATACTTGATATCCTTCGCATGGACACCTATGGTCCCCTTATTTTCGTATGAATAAATTATTGTAATGGCTTTATGCCTCTCTTTTATTAAAAAAAAGTTTTTTTTGTATTTTTTTATTGAATAATCTCAGTGATTAAAGAATTGTTGTTCTCTCCTAAAATATTGGATTCAAACAGTTACATCTATAAGGTATTTGTTATGATTATAAATAAATATTACCTTATAATCCATTCAAACTATTAAAAAGATATTAAATTTTACGTACGTCGATGCATAAATACTTCATTAACCATTAATGCTTGTATGGATGGTGCAAATGGTAGAAAATTGGAAGCATATTGTTGATGGTGGGTTGTGGTTCCCACATCCCACTCGTTGTTAGTCCCTTCCACGTTGAGGAATTACACGTTTCTATCCCTCATTCGATCTTACCCTCCTCTTCAAAACCAATTGTTTACAATAATTGCCCTTTAATAAGTTACACACCTATCCACAGCAGTCCGTTTGGTTTGGTAAATTCGGTTCATCTCGACTTAGACTTCAAACAACTTTCTTTTTTGGATTCATTCAACACAGAATTTAAAATATATAATAAAATCATTTTTAATTTTTTTAATAATTTATAAATAGTAAATACAGACTATAAAATTAGATTGAATCAAATTTGAATTTATATATAAAAAATTAAATTAAATTATGATTTAATCAGAGAATAACACAATATTTTATGTTATAAAGGTAAATTTATAACATTTTAAAGATGAAAAAATATCATTAATGTTCTAAATTATATGGTAATTTGAAATTTTCAAAATAACAACCGTCCCTACAAGTCCCGTCTCAATCCATCCTAGATCCGACCCTACTCATAAAAGTATATTTATAACTGTTAAAATTTATGAAAAGTCTTTGTATTATATATATGTTTATTTTAATCTTTCTTGTATAAAAAGCAACATTTCAGTCCCAATATATTTAAAATTAATTATTTTGATTCAAAATTTTAAAGTTATAGTTAGTTGGTTTAAATATTTTAATTTAAGCACTCTTTAAATCTCTATCAATTTTAAAATTGAGTAAATTGATCTATATTGAAAAAAATAGTAATTTATTTAATGAACATTTTAAAAGTGAATAAATAAAAACGATCAACGATAGTGTTGACATTTTCTGTCAATGCTTGACATGTTTCCAAACATGATTGGATGATTTTTAAATAAAAAAAAAACAAAAATTAATATAATTTTATAATTAAATCCTTATTCTCACTCTTTGTATTGTCTTTTTCAATTAAATCCTTATTCTCACTCCAAATCTAAAATTCGTAAGAAATTTTGATGTACATTTTTTCATTAAAATATTTTTTTATGTTTTCACATGTAATTGTAATATAATTGTAAGTGAAGCTAATATCGTTTGGAATTAGAATATAAATTAAATTTTCATTTATATTTATAAGTAATAATTTTTTTGATGTGAAAATTCACAACAAAACATTTAGAGAGAGATTAATATGCTCGAATTCAAAATTGAGAGGGACCAAAAGAGTGTTTAAACCAAGATATTTAAGCCAACTAACAATAACTTTAACATTTTGGAGCAAAATGTTAACGTTTTAATTATATAGGACCAAAAAGTTCTTTCTTACAGTAAAAGAATTGAAATAAGCTTTTAAGTATGTGTTTCTTTTTATAGTCTCTAGTGCTTGAATTTGGATCCTCTAAGGATAATAATCATTCATTTAATCAATGAGATAATTTGTTTCATCGTTAAAAATTATACTAAACTTGCATATTTGATAAAATGCATTTTAGAAATAAATATCAAAATTATACATGAAGTAATTTGATCAAATATACCATGTGATGTATGAACTTCGGTTTTGTATAATTATATATATTTGAAGTTTTTATTTTGTTTAATTTTCAAAAATCACTAAAACCGTTGGCAGCATAACATCATTTTAAGTTTTATGTTGCATACACGAATAATATATTTGTTCGATGTAAAATAAATAAATATATTTATTTTCTATAATGTATACAACTTAATCAAAATTAAATTTTTATGTATAATTACACAAAATCAATATTATATATCACATTAGACAATAAATAGAATTAATTATTATGTAACGCGGTATAAATTTACAATTAAAATATTTATTAATATTAAACCTATCGAGTCATCTCAAAATTAGAGTGTTATTTTTTTTTTCAGGTTTTGGATTCAAGTAACTGTCTCTGCATAGTGTGTATTGTTAATGACAGAAAAATATAGATAAATATTACATTGTAATCACCCAAACTATTAAAGAAAAATATCCTTATCAATAATTTGACTAATATTAATATCGGATAAAATAATTTTAAATATTTAATTTAATAATTTGATTGAAGATGAAATTTGTCACTAAACTCATATTTTGCAGACATTGATTATCACATAAAAATACAATTGCCAACCACTGCAAGTCTTTTGTCAACCTGGTGTGCATGGATTAGCTAATTAAACATGGTTTTAGCAACAATTTTAAATGACTAATCTACCCTTGAAACCGTCACGTGGTTTTGTCGGTATTAGGTGGATTAAATGGTAAGATGCCAAAGTGTGATGAAATAATCCCTGGCCCACACCATTCCATTTCTTGTCTTCTTCTCTGTTGCCCTCCATTTAAATTCGCAGCCTCTCAAACCAAAAATAATTCCATTCATATCATATCTTCTTCTCTAAAAAAAAAAAAACCAGAATTTTCTGGCAAAACTTCTCAATTTCATCACCGAATTTTACATATAAGTAGATTCGAAGGGTGCATCGATGGAGAGCACCGACTCGTTGAGTGGCTCGCAGCAGCCTAACCTGCCACCAGGTTCAGGTTCCACCCCACGGACGAGGAACTAGTGGTTCACTATCTAAAGAAAAAGGCTAGCTCTGATCCATTTCCTGTTGCAATTATTGCAGAGGTTGATTTATACAAATTTGATCCATGGGAATTACCAGGTAAATCCCAATCTTTTATGCAAATTTGTTCAAAGTTGGTATATATTTACACATGAGTATGATAGTTATGGTGTTTGGATTTTCCAGCAAAGGCAACGTTTGGGGAACAAGAATGGTACTTCTTTAGTCCAAGAGACCGGAAGTATCCTAACGGAGTCCGGCCAAACAGGACGGCCACTTCGGGTTACTGGAAGGCTACCGGAACCGATAAGCCAGTATTGACTTCCGGTGGGACTCAAAAGGTTGGTGTGAAGAAGGCACTGGTTTTCTATGGGGGGAAGCCCCCTAAAGGGATTAAAACTAGTTGGATTATGCATGAATATAGGCTGGCTGATAGTAAGAGTAACAATAGACCACCTGGATATGCCTTTGGCAACAAGCAAAACTCATTAAGGGTAATCACTTTTTTTGTTGTTCTTTTTCAGGGTTTGATTGTTTGCTAATTAGATTCCTTTCTGTTTCAAATAGCTTGACGATTGGGTGCTATGTCGAATCTACAAGAAAAACAACATGCAGAGACAATTGGATCATGATAAGGATGACTCGCTTGATGACATGCTTGGTCCAGTACATCCTTCAATACCAATTGGCAGCCAAAATAATCCCAAGTTTCAGTTTCCAACAAAGGGTACAAGTTTTGGCACATTGCTTGAACATCAGGAGCATAGCCTGTTGGATGGAATACTGGGCAGTGTTGGTGGGATCAACAATGGTTCGTTGCCTATGGTTAATCCACTCAGAAGGAATCTACCTCTACCATCACCTTTTTGGACCGACGAAACCGCAGCCGAGCCACCGACAAGCAAGAGATTTCATGGTGAAAGTGATGATGGAAGCTTGGAGAAGATGGATGGAAATAGTTCAATTGCCACTCTGCTTAGCCAGTTACCACAAAGTCCTCCATTGCAACAACAACAACAAGAACAAACAATGATGGGGTCGATAGGAGATGAGATTTATCGGCCTCTATTTCAACTTCCAGGACTCAACTGGTACTCATAATTCAGTTCCAGATAGTAAGTACTCCGTAGACCTTAAAAAGTTCAAAAATCAAACTTTTCAATAGTAGCTTGGAAGGTGTCAGTGTCATGTAACATAGTTTTTGATACTGTTGCCAAATAGTGATGAAGCATTTGGATTGGGATAAAGATTGTATTTTGATTCTTAGGTAAGTGAGTAGAAAACACTTCATTAGATGAACTAGGCCTGAATGTTTCTTTCAGGGTAGTACCTGCAAAATTTCATCTATTGGGGGTCATAGATGTATAGGAAAAATCAATTTTATAATATATATAGGTATATTTATATTTATATAGATACAAATATATTTTATACATAGGGATTTCTGTTTAATATGTAGAAGATGCAAAGAATGATGAAATATTTTGCTTTTAGGATACAACTTATGGAATCCTTGCTGTTGTAGAACTTTATTATGTTGATGAAGCACATATTTAATAATATATTGGTTATGGCTTTCATATATATATATATATATATATATATATATATTCAGATCATGGTTGCTCTCCATAAACCCTAAAGGGTAAAAGCTTAGAATTTCATTCTCTTTCAGCCATTTTCATCTTCTTCCCCTTCTTTCCAAAAAGCTAGGTTTATGAAGATCGGTTACCTTAACATTTTCTTTAGGAAAAAAATAATGGTATTGACTAATACAATTTAATATTGCTTTTCCTATTTAATTTATTTATTGAATCGGAAAAAAAATATTGACTAATAATATAATTAAATAAAAATCATTAGCAATTCTAGGTACGAACACCCAGTATTCGTTGATGAGAGCTTACGTATATGGGGCCATATTACTATTTTATTATTTTTTATTTCCATCATTGGACATATATCAATCAACTGAAATAATATATATATACATAAAAAAAAACAATGTATACACAATATACGTATAACATAGATAGATAATGAACGTGTACGTGTGACTTTTTTTAGGTAAAGTAGTACATATATAAGCATTGATATTTTAAATAGAGAAAAAAAAGTATCTAATTTTTAAAAATATATATTAATTTATCTGTAGATATTTTTTTAAAAGTTTTCATTTTCTTATTCAAGCTGTGGTTTTTTTCTTTTCCTTCCCTTTTTAACTTGACAGAGATGGCTGATCTTTTAGACAATGAAAGGTAACAATTTTAAAAATATTATAGTAAAGAACGAATTTTATTTTATTTCCCTTTTCAAACAAGACGAAAATAGGGTTTAACTAAGAGATAATATCTTGTTGCCCAAGTTTGAGAGTGTTAATGTTCAAGAGTAATATGAAAAATAAATCTAAATCCATCAATCAATTCACAAAAGATGTGAATCTATTGAACGATCTTAGTGATAAAAGGAGATGTTATTTTTCCTAGAAGTTTTTAGTTCGAATAGTTGCGTCTATAGTGTATGTGTTCATTGTCAATTAATTAAAAAAATTTAAAAAGATATTACCCTATAATCATCTAAAATTAATTAAAAATTTCATAAAAGATGCATCTCTCCCATGAGGCCATGACTCGATGTGTGATAAACTTTTATTGTTCCTTCCATATAATCATGCATAAGAGTTCGAATTTTAATGTTGCGATTATTTTCTATCTTCCAAAACTGTAAATTTTAAAAGTATATGTCAAAAATAAAAGTAAAATAGTCAAGATATATGAAGTGGATGTCATTTCTTTTCATTAGATTGATAAGGCATAACAAGTATATTCCATGTAACGCTATCACTCAATTAAAACCCTACAAATCTCCTTCGAATATAAGATTTTTTCACCATTAAAATCTCTTTTCACATGCTCAATTCAACTTGTTATTTGGGTTTGTGTGTATATATATACGTAAATACAAATACAATATACCACTGCGTGTCTTGTACGTATATCTTCACATAGGGGACAAAATGATCTACGTAAATATGACTTAATTAATTTTAGGGTAAACTACATCTCAGTCACCCAACTATTTCCATAGTTTTGTTTTGGTAATCTCAAATTTTTTTTCAAAATCATATATAAGTTACGTTTTGGCCTTTAAAAATTAACATGATGTTGAATACGTCACCATAAGATAATTCCACGTCATCATGAGAGAAAATAAAAAAATATCATGTATGTAGTTCTGATTACTTTTTAAAGCCAGATGATCAAAACAAAACAAAAATATTATTTTTAGTATGATTTTGAAAATTAATTAGATGATAAAATAGAATCACGAGAATAATTAAATGACTAAATATGTAATTTATCCTATATTTAAATCGAAACAATGCTTGTAAGCGAACTCGTTCGAGTATTGAGATTTCACACATAATAATGGTTGAATGAATGTTGACAATGTAAGACACTAATTTAAAAAGTTTTGAAATGAGATGTTTTGGTTTTTCTAAGACTTTATTTTTACAGCAACATAATTAATCTATTTATTTCTATGTACTTATTTATAATTATTGTTAATAAATTATTTTGTAGCGATATTTTCTTAACCATAGAAAATTCATCTTTAATTGTTGGTGCCATGGCTTTCTCTTTTTCTTTTCACATTTTTTATTATGCAATAAAAATCCCATTAATAGATGTTATAAAATATAAATAGTGTCTTATTCTTAAACTCGTATGAGAGAATTATTTTAGATAGATGTTGTAATCTCTTACACTCGACCTAAACGTTATGGTCAAATCCCAAAAGTTATAGTGTCACCAAAATTATCAAGAATTCAGTATAGAAATTTTAACCGATATCTAAATAGAATTTCAAATGATTTATTTAGTTATTATTTCTTTATTAGAAAATAGTTTAATATATATTTAAATATTCTTCAGATATTGTCTAAGTATCATGTAGGTATATATGTCATGTAACACCTCGAAATCCAGATAATAAGTTTTCATTGTAAACAAGAAATTTATCGTCATGTAACACCTCGAAATCCAGATAATAAATTTTCATTGTAAACAAGAAATTTATCTCTGTAAATAGATCTTAGAGAATGGATTTTATATGTAAATTAATTAAACCCTAAATTGTATTTAAATGCAAATCATATTGTACTTAATGAAACCCTATATTGTATTTAAATGTGAATCATATTGTACTATTTTTCGACATAATAAAATTTTCTTTATTTGTTTGTGATTTTTTCATAAAGAATTTATCGACTTTAAATCTTAGTATTCTTTATTTTACTATTGGTTTACATTCATTATTATCATGCTTATATTATTACATAACCTTTTAAACTTACTCTCGTTGAATAAATGAAGACAAAGCTTATACACGTATGTCACCATTCTTGTCTGTCTAGTCTAGGTCATGTTTGTATTCATACTATTTTTATCGATGTATTTCAAAGAAAAAATAATTTTATCAATACATTTTTCCGTTAGAAGTTTGAATCTCAATAATAGATTTCTTTTTTGATTATTTATTTTGTATTTTTTAGCAGTTTTCTACTTCATCTTTATCATTATCTTTTCGATTTTCAAAAACAACAAACAACCTAACCCTTTGTTTACCAGCACATAACCTTTTAAACTTACTCTCGTTGATAAATGAGACAAAGCTTATACACGTATGTCACCATTCTTGTCTGTCTAGTCTAGGTCATGTTTGTATTCATACTATTTTTATCGATGTATTTCAAAAGATAAAATAATTTTATCAATACATTTTTCCGTTAGATAAGTTTGAATCTCAAATAATAGAATTTTTCTTTTTTGATTATTTATTTTGTATTTTTTAGCAGTTTCTACTTCATCTTTATCATTATTCTTTTCGATTTTCAAAAAAACAACAACAACCTCTAACCCTTTGTTTTACCAGCAAAAATCATATATTTTCTCTCGGTTCTCATGTTACACTAGGCCTTCTTTTAAATAGAGCAATTGAATGTTATATTCTTCAATATTGTACGTGTAAATGTCGTGTTAACCTAAAATAACATTTATTTTATGATTATACTTGAGGTAATGATTTTACGATGACATTATAAACTTAATTTATTTCTTTGATTTATTTGTTATAATCACTCTTAACCTTGTAGTCGTGGGATCGAGTCCTACGGTGGGCAATTCATAATTCTGACTGCCGGAGGTCTCCCACGGAAACTGCTTTCAACCTAACGTTGGGGGCAGCCTACTATCCTACCTGCCTTTATCCCATTACATAATGGCACTTGGTGCCATACGTGTTAATCTAGACTTCTAGTGTAGATATGGCCTGGCCTTGGAGTTGGACCATGAGATTTGAACTAAATTCTAACCATAGGTGGTTCATGGCCCCCCATTTTTACATCATGCTCGACAATATACTAAAGAAGCAATAATTAAGTGGTTAAAGCATCTTAATATATTGATAATTATTATATTTTTTATTCCAAATACATTTTATAATAAACTAATTACACTTTTGAAAAGTATTTTAAAATTGTTGTAAAAAATATTTTTAAAAGTATTTTTGGAAAGTGTAATTTAAAATTTAATTGTTTAAGATTGTTGTTAAAATGTGATTTTGGAAAGATAAAATATTTTATTTTAGACATTATGTTGTAAATTGGAAGTATAATATTTGAGGATAAAAATATAATTTCACTCCAAAAGTGATTTTCCACATCAAAAGCTAGAAATGTGTTATGAGATGAAAAATCGTTTTGACTAAGTATATTTAATCATTTTAAGAATCTTTAAATAATTACGGTGTTCATCTCTGGTCGCTTTGCTTCATATGGTGGTGGACTTAGTGAAAGCATTTCAGGTGGATATGGAAGTAGGAAGAAGGAATTAACGGTTGATGGATTAAAACTGAACGGACCGATAATGTAAGAGATTAAAATTGTTCTTTTTTTTTAATCGATAACTAAAATCAGATGAACTAAAATTTAAGGGACCACCCATGTAGTTTACCCTTGATATAATCGTCATTAGAATTAACAATCTCTCGAATCTTCCTTTTATGCCAATTCTTTATAAGGGTTATTTAGACCAGATATTTGGTGTGAAAGCGTCAAACTTGCAACAGTAGCGTGGATTAGTGGTCGCTGATGCTATATAATAAACTTTCTAAAAAGGAAGTCTGAAATCTAATCAAGCACACGTCGATGAGTTTGATAGCTTCCCTACCAAAAATCTGTATGAATTTGTGGCTCAAATTCATATATAAAAATATCTAATAAAAATTCAAACCCATTCCCTCAGAAAGAAAATCAAAATCAACGTCAAAAGTTTACAGCCATGATGATCATCGATGCTCAAAACAACTTGGTCAAAGTCTCCCAACACAAAGAAACAGCCTTCCAGGAACTACCAAGTCAAAGAATATGGCACCTATATAAGCTTCACCAAATCAAAATGACCAATTCATCTTAATTACAATCTCTCAATTCACCTACTCTGCAATATGCAGTTGACCTTCTTTGAGGAACAAAATACACAAGGTTTAGAAGAAACTCCGGGAATGGCTGGAGGTGTGACGGAGGAGAATTGGAGTCATAGAAGAAATTACATGGCGTCGGCGGCGGCGTCGTCTTTGAGAAGTTCCCGACGGTGTACATGTTTGAACCAACCGGGTTCAGCACCGTGTAGATGGCATGGTTACATGTTGCCAAGGCAGAACATGAGGAGAAACAGTGGTAACAAAGAGATAATAAGGAGGGCAATAACTCACCCATCCGGAAGATGACACTTCGGTGGTGGAACTTCAGGCCAACACCAAGCAGGCTTTCTAACATGTCCATGGCTTAAGTACTTGCAGCCTTTTTTCTTTACCAGAGATCGAACAATATAGAGAATATATGTAAATGATTTGATTGTATTGTTAAAATCTTGGTTGATTTTATATATTTTAGAATGAAATTTTCAGCATTTTCATTGAGATGAATTAAACACAATGTATCTCCAAATAAATGGAAAAAAAAATTCCCCACGGCTAAAGGGAAATGACGAGTGTCTTTGTGAAACCAAATTTCAACAGCTTTGAAACATACTGACACCAGACGTCCATTGACGCAAGGTCATGACAATCACGTTCACTGCCTCATATATTACACTTCGGGGATCAACTAATTGTTGGTAATGCTAAAGTGGGTAAGGCATGTAATCCTATGTCGGAAAGAGAAGTTCTTCTAGATGGGTTTATAATTTTTATCTTTTTTTTATTTTGTTTTTGCTGAGAATAGAGTGATATGACTCACGCATGCGTGCGCCGCTGCCACTGCTGGTAGTTCGATTCGTATTTATGTTTGTGTTAACACATGAGTACTGCGATCATATTATCTTTTAAGAGAAAATCTGTAAGAATTTTTCTTTAAATTTTTAAACCTAAAAAGAATTGTTCTCTTTTGTATTTATAAACATGATAACTTTTGGAACGATTTTTTTGCTCCTATAATTACAATTTCTTGGAGAGGCGGTGTTAACTAGGGATGGGCGGGGTCGGGTTGGGTTTTTTGTCCACCCGACCCGAGAACAAGGAGTTCTCTACCCGAGATCTGACATGACCCGAACAAAATAAAATTTCACCCGACCTGAATCCGACCCGATATATAACTTAAAAATCATACCCGACTAGAAATAATAAAAAAATATATTTTAGTCAATAAAACCGTGACTTAATTGAAAAAGGTAATATATAGAGGAGTATTATTGTAATTATTTCTAATATAAGAAAAATTATATATATTTTTCGGGTCAGATTGGTCAGGTATTTTCACCCATAACTCGAACCTGACCGACCCAAACCCAAATTTTTTAAAAAATAACCCGACCGATTAGATCGGGTCAGAACCAGTCAGGTTCAGGTACAGTCCATCCTAGTGTTAACTTAAGAGGTATCATTCAATGCAGTGATTACATCAATCGAGATAATTTACTTAGTAATTTACCACACAATATTTTATTTCTTATTCGATTATTCTTTATATGCTTATCAATGCTAACACCTCAATTTATAGTAATTTTTCGAACCTATATCCCAAATGTGGTATGAGTACTTTCAGCTTGTCGACACCTATATCCCAAATGTGGTATTGAGTACATTTCACTTGCACTAAAACTTGCTGATGCTCACTACAAAGATCTTAACACAAGTTGCAATGTTCAAACTTTATAACCACTGGTTTTGGAATCCAATTCCATCCCTAGTAAAGTCGGAAGGATCTTTTCCCCTTATTGATTGAAAGCAAACCAACTTGCGTTAGTATTAAGTGGTCTCAGTGATTAAAGAAAGTGTTGTTCTCCCTTGAAGTCTTAAGTTCGAACAATTATGTCTCCTATGTGTGTAAGTTGTTAATGAAAATAACTGTGATTAACCAACAGCAATGTAGTTGATGATCGCAGTAAATGAGGTTGGTCTATGTGGGGTTTCCTTCCTTATGTTTACCCCTGAAATGTTATTATGACTTGGTCTGTGAAAATAGGCGTGGCTAACCAACAATAATGTAGTGGGTGATCGCAGTAAAGGAGTTGACGACTTGGTCTATGTGAAGTTTCCTTCTTTAATAGTTCTGCGTCTCATCAACATGATCAGAGATGCCCCCAAAATTATCTGTCGACTTGGTTAATTCGTTTTATCACATAGTCCCCTGAGTCATCTTGCACCCACCTCATCCCATCTGTCCTTGTCATCACACCATTATCTCACCTATTCACATCATCACACCCATTTACATTTCAACTATTTGGTACTTGTATTTAATTAAAAAGTAAAGTTGAAGAAATTGAAAGACAAAAACGGTGTAGTTACTCTTAATTTTAAGCAAAACTATGGTGAAGTAATCAGAAAGATGTACAAAAAATAACACGAATGAAGCTTGAAGATTTGCAAGATATGGTGAAATTTAGATGATAAAATTAAAGGGGGCAAACATAAGGTAAATGCATAGCCTTAGCAAACCAGGATTAAAGTATTCGGAGCCTAAAAGATCTCCCTCACCGTCTATTACAAATATAACGAGCCAAACATGCTAATTCATAGATTCAACAAAATTTGGCTCCTTATCTTATTAGGGAAATGTATTACTGCCTTGATGATTCCTCGACCCACGATTATTATGTCACTACCCCTATCGAAGATCACCTGAAATACCATTTTCTAGGTTATTAAAGTTGAAATATAAGGAATGCCACTGGAAAAGAAAATCAATCTCTTCCATTGCTAAAACTCGTAATCGGACTATATACAATGCATATTTTGGGGGACTAATTTCACGTCTTCTGCACGACCGACCAACAGAGTTGTTTTCGTCCATCATGTTTTCTACAGTAAACATATTCAAATGCACTTCCAGGAAAGTTCCTAATCTATACACATCATAGCTTTACAGAAATGGAGAACCAATGAATGACGGAGCAAACACTTACAGAATATGGAGTGTTGTACTGCTGGCCAAGGTTATCGCCGCCCTTTACCATTTGAACTCCAGGGTTGCCTGAATGAATGCTGGATTTACCGTGCACCAGGCCATGATGCAGGGTTGACCGAGATGAAACCAATGACAAAATCGGAGTGCTGTTCAGCATTTTTACGGCTGCAGCTGTGTAGTCTCCAGTGGCAAGGTTACCAGCAGAGCTCATTTCCGCGAGTAGCAACAGCCCCCTACCACGGGGCAAACCCTAAAATAGTTCCAAAATAAAATTAGGAAACATCAGTCTTAAATCCCTATTTCAATCTAGCTAAAAGTAATATAGGCTTATTATACAAACCTTTAATTTCAAACCATCCACATTCCAGGACCGAGATAATGTGAGCATTAACAATATCAGCCCACTCCAATATATGAAAGATACCCCTGCAAACACGCCGAGTGGACTTAGGTAATACAAAGCACAAAGGAACAACTGTGCAGCAGAAACTGATATTACCCGTCATACTGCATTGTCACTGTATTCCCAATGTCCGCAAACTTACGGTCCTCAAATATCATAAAGTTATATTTTTCTGCAATCTGCAATTGAATACAGAACAAAAGCATTGTTAGTTCAACTTATCAACCAAACACCAGTTCAACAAATCCCACATTAATCCAATGGAGTTTGATATAGCTTCTCCATATCCATCACCAATTTAACTAATGCAGAAACTGGAAAGAAAGGGCAACACAGTTATACCCATTGAAAATCAAAAGAATTCTAAAGAACAGCCATAGCTCGGGATATGTAGGCATAAGAAGACATTTAACATACAATTGATATATACCGCACGAAGTTTAGACCCAAGTCAGGAGTGAAATCAGGAATGTCAACATGATCTTCAACAGGCAGATTTCAGGTCCAACCTGCATAAAAGTTCAAATATTGAGCAGAGACACAAAATCAGCAAAACAGAAAAGTTTATCATACAAAAAACATTCAATAAAAACTATTTATATATATATGTCATTGAACTATGCCGCCTAAGTTACCAAGCATATACCACATGCTCCAAAATTACAGCTTTATCAAGAAAAAAATTAACGCAAAACAAAAAATCTAGCTTTATCCCTAGAAAATTTCGAAATTTTCCTGAAATGAAATGAAAACCAATCCCAAACAAACTAATCCCAAACTTACCTTCTCAGCAATATCAAGTAACTCAGCAGCAGTGGAAACATCAGCAGCCAAACAGAGATTACTCTCTTTCTTAACCCTAATCTCAAACACTTTTTCCTGTAGGATTCTTAGCCATATTAGCCCTTTCTTCAAACCCCAAACACTTAATCCTCGCTTTCTCAACCTTAGGCACAGGAACTTTCTTATTCTCCTCCAGGAACTTCATGACCAAATTTTCCATCTCTTCTTCCAATCTCCCTTTCGCTCTCAAAACCTTCACCATCTCCGTCAAAGTAAAAGACATGGAGTTTAATTCCATTCTGATCCAACGTTTCCCTCCCGCCTTGCTCTCTATCAATGACCACGACGGCGTCAGTCACGTTGATACCCACTGATCGAAGAGCGCCACCGTTCCAGAACCGATGATCCGGACGTTACGAGGTCTTCCACCACCAGGCAACCTGGCCCTTCTCGTAACGCCTTCGATGGACTTGGCGGTGCCGTAATCTTTGACTTCTTTGCGGCGCATGAGCATGGGGATGGAGGTGTCGAGAGATAGAGGTGGCTATGGGGAGGCGGTGTAAGGGACGCCACAGATGAGTTAAAGTGTCTGGAGGGAGAGAGGACAGGAGGGAGTGGGAGATTTGCGGAGGAGGAAGGGTAAGAAACGATGAGGCGGAGGTCTATGTAGATAGGTGAAAAGATGCCGGATTTTAGCTTGAAGTTGCCGAATTTGACGGCGGAGATTTCATGAGTTGGAGGATGAGAGACTCTGTTGACGACATTTTTGTGGGGGCCCGATAGTGACAGTGGTGGAGGTGTGAAGTGGTAGTGTAGTAGGAAGGAGGCTGCCTATTTTGTGCTTTATAAGCACAGATATGAAAATATTTAGGTGTTTTTTAATTAATGAAATGTAAGATTATTCGTGAGAATGTAAGATTATCAGAGAATATGATTATTGAAAATGTTATATTATTTTGTTTAGTTGGTTTAACAGTAATGTAAGATTATTGTGTTTGATTAAAGGAATAAAAAATTATTGAAATGTATATTTGATCAAATTATCTTTATTATATATTTATTTTTTAACAAATTAAAAAATATTTATATATTTTATTTAAAAAATTTAAATTCATACTAAATTGACCACCAAACAATTCTTATAACACTCAAATCCGACCTTAATTTATTATCGAATTTATGAATGCCACATTCAATCACTAAAGTGACCTTAAACTTCACAACTAAAAAAATAATGTATTTCTCAAAATTGTAAAAGTTTTTATAAAAAACGAAAAATATAAAAATCATAACTCTTATTTGAAAAAAAATATCAAATATATAAATAAATATTACAACATGACTCGAATAAAAATATTAACATCTATATACAAACTTAAATATCATTAGTATGCTTTAATGTTTTGTTATGACTCATCAGATGATATCGTTGTTCCATCGTGATCCATAAAAATTTGTAACATTTGAACGAAAACAATCTAAACACTAAGCTTACAAAGTTTAGTGATATACATCTACTTGATTATATTTATGAATTTTATAAACATAAACATATTAATTTATTGTGAACTAATAAAAATTAAACATTTACTCTTGTAATCATTAATACACTCAAGATCTAAAGTGTAATTTATTTTAAGTAATTATGTTGTCTCATTTATTTATCGTGATCAGCATTAACAATATTCCTAGATTTATCAACAAAAAAACATTTTCTTATTTCTATAATCTTATTCGATGTGAAATAAAGTGGGTTTTATGGGGGAGGAATCACACCACTTGCAAAATGCACCCTTCATAAAATGATTAATAATCTTTTAGGGAGACATAGAGTTCCATCCATATCTTCATTTTTCATTCGATAAGTCTTATATGATATATATTTATCGTGACACTATATATTAAAAAATGTGCTATTTTATAATTAATTAATTAATTTTAAATACCTATCATTTACTTAAATAATTAAAATACTTGTATAGTTTAGAATGATCGTATAAGTAGCATAGAGAATGGGTAAACTACACCATTCATCACTAAACTTCACTTTTCTCATATTTCACTCATCATATTTTCAATTTCTTCAATTTAGTCACTAAACTTTTGAATTATTTTTATTTTGATCACTATGAATTATCTTATTATTATTCAATGATGTGACATTTTTTATCATTATTAAAATATAAAAAATAATTTAAAAATAAAATTAAAATAAGATGGTGGTCGTCAATTGTTTGTCGTGACTAGCCAAATACATTGAATAGTAACGCCAAAACACTTTTTATATATTGTGATGGGCCAAACAATTTAAAATATAAATTATCCAGACGATCGTGATGGTTCAAACATTTAAAATAATAACATAAAATACAAATTAGTCATCTGTCTTGAGAAAAAAAATACTTTAGACATAAAATGAATGATATATATAACTTGAATTAAAAACATTAAACTTTTTTATCCATATAACTAGAACTAATATATGATATTAATTCAAAAATAGTTTAAATTCTCAAATAAAATAATAATACTTAAATAATTATTACGATTAAAAACATCTTAAGTAAAAATAATACTTTAATTATTTATTTTTGGATCAAACCTATTAACACTTTAAACCTATAAATTTCAATTATTATTTGCCCTTTAATCCGGAATCAATGCAACTTTGGCGGTCATCTCTTGTATTTTCCAAAAGGTCTTTTCCAATTAACAATTATTCTACTTTTGACTTTAGACTATCGAGTCTGTGTAAGTCAATGATCACAGGTCATACTTTCTAGAAATATGTGCATTTATACGATAAATAAAGAAACTAAATTGGAAATCAATAGCCAATAAGAAACTAAAATAATGTCCCTTATTCTCATATGTAATATGTAATTGGGTAAGGAGAGGTAAGATAGTATGGTATCTTCAACATTAGATTGAGAACAACTTTCGTAGGAGACCTCCAAATTATGAAATACCCTCCATGGGACTCAATCTCATGACCTCAAGATTAAGAACCTTATGCTCTACCAACTGAATTGTATGATCATTTCAGCCAATAAAAAACTAAATATGATAAAATCAGGTAGGTTTTATCGATCGGTCAAACTATTTATCTTTATTTATTCATAGATTTTTATAGATTTTTTTACACACAAAAAAATCTTCCTATTTAAGAGAAATTATTATATGAACTCTTTTCATCATCTCTCTTATGATCCCATTCAATTGTTTTATGTGATATTATCGATTTTTTCCTCGTATTTGAAAAGTCTTCATTTCTTTCTTTCAAATTTTTTCCTTTTTAAGTCAAACAAAGAAGAATTTAGAATCCACCATAAGCGTTGGCCTACAAACGACATGGTTACTTGATTTTGGATGATGACAGCAAAGGTTGAAGAAGCATGAGGCTGTTCATTTATTCATTAATCCTTTTTCTTCTTTGATCAAATTTCAAAAGTGAAGAAAAGTTTCTACCTT